TCAGACTCCACTCCGTCCTCTCTCTGCTTCTAATGCAACACAGATGTCTCTTAAACAGTGCTGAATGGTTGTTCAGACGCTGTGGAAACGTTCTTGATCTGATGTACAGCGTGTCTGGTCGGTTTCTTCAGCTCAATGTGGGTCACCTTTAGCATCTGGAAACTGCAGCGGTACATCTAATTGAGTCTGGAGACGTTCGGCTGCAGTTTTTCCTGGCCAGAAACATTTCCTTCTGGCATGGAGACGCTCATATCTTCTGTGTAAGGCAGTTAGTGGCTACTGTTCTGGATTGTAGCGTCACGTTACACTGTTCAGAGATCAGTGCAGGAGCGCTGGCGTGCACACTCCGACTGTTAGTGCAGAATGTGAGGAGCTGCTCTCAGATGACTGTGGCGGAGGAATGTGGAGCGGCTCTGAGTGTGTGTTTATGCAGCTGAGTGTTGATCAGCATCAGTGCTGTAGATGTAGAGCTGAACCAGCTGAACTCCGCTGACCTCTGACCTCTCATTCTAAACTCGTTTGGTTTGCTTTGATCAGTGAAGCACACTAGATAGTGCTTATCTACAGTCATCAGTTCTGTGTGTGTGTGTGTGTGTGTGTGTGTGTGTGTGTGTGTGTGTGTGTGACTTTTCTGCTCTGTGTTCAGGAAAAGAGTTCTTTGTGGGATTATCAAAGAGAACCAATCAGAGAGGAGCAGAGATCCTGGCCAACACCTTTAAGGTGAGACTCATCTGTCTGTCTGTCTGTCTGTCTGTCTGTTCGTCTGTTCGTCTGTCTGTCTGTCTGTTCATCTTTTTGTCTGTCTGTTCATCTGTCTGTTCGTCTGTCTGTCTGTCTGTTCATCTTTTTGTCTGACTGTCTGCCTGTCTGTTCGTCTGTCTGTCTGTTTATCTGTCTGTCTGCCTGTCTGTCTGTCTGTTCATCTGTCTGTCTGTCTGTCTGTCTGTTCGTCTGTCAGTCAGTCTGTCTGTTCGTCTGTCTGTCTGTTCGTCTGTCTGTCTGTCTGTCTGTCTGTCTGTTCATCTGTCTGTCTGTCTGTCTGTCTGTTCATCTGTCTGTCTGTCTGTCTGTCTGTTCGTCTGTCAGTCAGTCTGTCTGTCTGTCTGTCTGTTCGTCTGTCTGTCTGTCTGTTCGTCTGTCTGTCTGTCTGTCTGTTCGTCTGTCTGTCTGTCTGTCTGTCTGTTCGTCCGTCTATCTGTCTGTTCGTCTGTCTGTCTGTTCATCTGTCTGTCTGTTCGTCTGTCTGTCTGTTCATCTGTCTGTCTGCCTGTCTGTCTGTCTGTTCATCTGTTTGTCTGTCTATCTGTCTGCCTGTCTGTCTGTTCGTCTGTCTGTCTGTTCATCTGTCTGTTCATCTGTCTGTCTGTCTGTTCGTCTGTCTGTCTGCCTGTCTGTCTGTCTGTCTGTTCGTCTGTCTGTCTGTTTGTTCGTCTGTCTGTCTGCCTGTTCATCTGTCTGTTCGTCTGTCTGTCTGTCTGTCTGTCTGTCTGTCTGTTCGTCTGTCTGTCTGTCTGTTTGTCTGTTCGTCCGTCTATCTGTCTGTTCGTCTGTCTGTCTGTCCGTCTGTCTGTCTGTTCATCTGTCTGTCTGTCTGTCTGTTCGTCTGTCTGTCTGTCTGTTCGTCTGTTCGTCTGTCTGTCTGTCTGTCTGTCTGTTCATCTGTCTGTCTGTCTGTCTGTGTGTCTGTCTGTCTGTTCATCTGTCTGTCTGTCTGTCTGTCTGTTCGTCTGTCTGTCTGTTCATCTGTCTGTCTGTTCGTCTGTCTGTCTGTTCATCTGTCTGTCTGCCTGTCTGTCTGTCTGTTCATCTGTCTGTCTGTCTATCTGTCTGCCTGTCTGTCTGTTCGTCTGTCTGTCTGTTCATCTGTCTGTTCATCTGTCTGTCTGTCTGTTCGTCTGTCTGTCTGCCTGTCTGTCTGTTTGTCTGTTCGTCTGTCTGTCTGTTTGTTCGTCTGTCTGTCTGCCTGTTCATCTGTCTGTTCGTCTGTCTGTCTGTCTGTCTGTCTGTCTGTCTGTCTGTCTGTTCGTCCGTCTATCTGTCTGTTCGTCTGTCTGTCTGTTCGTCTGTCTGTCTGTTCATCTGTCTGTCTGTCTGTCTGTTCGTCTGTCTGTCTGTCTGTTCGTCTGTTCGTCTGTCTGTCTGTCTGTTCATCTGTCTGTCTGTCTGTCTGTCTATTCGTCCGTCTATCTGTCTGTTCGACTGTCTGT